CCAAGAAATGTGCAGAGGGAATGCGGGGGTGGGGAGGAGGAGGAGGGGAAGGGTGATGCGGAGAAGGGCCACAAGGCATGGTCTCTGGTTGCTCTGGATGCTCCTGGAGCTGTGTCCAGACCCAGACTTCAGATACGGCTCAAGCCGAAGCTTTAGAAACTGGGGATAGGAGGTGAGGGTGGCAGCCTTCAGTGAGGAGCAGGTCACAGGTCCTCAGTGAGTTTGTTCTCATCTTAACTGGGCCTTGATTTGCAAAGCTTTGCTTAGAATAGTGATCCTCATGTTGAGCATGCACCAGAATCCATGGAGGGTTTGATAAAGCTTGCTGGGCCTCGCCCCCTATTCTGGTTGAATAGGTCTGGGGTAGGGCCTGAGAATTCTCATTTATAACACCTAAGTGATGCTGATTCTGCTGGTCTGGGGGACCCTGATTTCGGAGCTATTGACCTAGAACTTTTTTTTTTTTTAAGATTTTTTATTTTTAAGTAATCTCTACACCCAAGGTGGGGCTTGAACTCACAACCCTGAGATCAAGAGTTGCATGCTCTACCGACTGAGCCAGCCAGGCGCCCCTGGCCTAGAACTTCTTAGTGGGACTGTGGTTCTCAGGTGTCAGGAAGAAGAGATCCACACCTTTCTTCTTCCCTTAGGAAGGAGGTGGGAGCCAACGATGAGTAGCCAAAGGGCCAAGGTCCTGCGGTGGGTGGGGGCGGGGAGTGGAGAAACCAACAGGGTGGTATTCTAGGATCCTCTTACCAGGAGCGAGGAGTCTTGGGGTGTTATCTTGCCCCTGAACGAACCCACTCTGAGGTCTCATGGAAGTTACTTCTGCTTTCTGGGCCTCGGTTTACCCCTCTGTAAAAAAACAAGCAGGTGGCACTTTTCTGTAAGTGTTCTAGTTTTCACAGCAATTTATTTATTTTAAAATTCATTTATTTATTTTTTGAGAGAGAGCGAGAGAACGTGCACTTCTGCCAGTGAGGGAGACGTAGGGATACAGACCCCTAAGCAGGCTCTGCACCGTCAGCCAGGAGCGCAACTCAGGGCTCAATCCCACGAACCTTGAGATGATGACCTGAGCCGAAATCAAGAGGCAGATGCTTAACCAACTGAGCTACCCAGGAGCCCCTTTCTTTTATCTTTTTTTATGTTTATTTTTGAAAGAGAGAGAGAGAGAGAGAGAGAGAGAGAGAGAGAGAGAGAGATGGAGAGCACAAGCGGGGAGGGGCAGAGAGAGAGAGGGAGACAAAGAATCCGAAGCAAGCTCCAGGCTCTGAGCCGTCAGCACAGAGCCCGATGCGGGGCTCGAACCCACAAAGTGAGATCACGACCTGAGCTGAAATTGGTTGCTTAACCGACCGAGCCACCCGGGAGCCCCTTCCTTTTATCTTTTTGAAAACCTTTCCAGGGGTGCCTAGGTGGCTTGGTTGGTTAAGCGTCCAACTCTTGATTTTGGCTCAGGTCACGATCTCACGGTTCGTGAATCCGAACCCCTTGTCAGGCTCCGTGCTAACAGTGCAGAGCCTGCTTGGGATTCTCTCTCCGCACCCCTTCTCCCCCCTCCCGGCTCCTCCCCTGTGTGCACACGTGCGCTGTCAATCTCTCTCTCTCAATAAACATTTTTAAAAAAAGATGAAGGAAGACAAACAGAACCGTGTGACCTCTCCGGGGATGCGGGTGCGAGAATCCTGTGCAGGCACCATGGTGTACTCCAAGGACTATGGGCTTTGGCTTGGACCCAAGCCTTCCACTGAACTTGCCCTGAGCCCCTTTCCTTCTGGAATCCCCATAACGCTCACCCATGACTCCGCGCCTTCATCCAGAGCACTCTCCTTTTTCCTGTCTTACCCGGTTTTCAGGCTTTCTCGTGCACCTGTCATATCTTCCAATTGGCTCCTGACCGTGCAGTGCAAGCTCTTTGCGTATCCCTCTCCGCTGCCAGCGCTTGGGAGAGAAGGAGCGTTGGATAAATGTTGGAGAACCATCAGCGAGAGAAACACCCAAGCCGTATTCCACACTGTGCGAGAATCCCAAGGTGAGAGTCAGGGAACCCAGAACCTCCCTCCTTGCTTTGGCCCTGTTCACCTCCAGAAATGGGGCCTGCCACCCAGCCCTTTCCTCCACCTTCTGCCCAGACTCTGAGTTCTGTTCCCTTGTCCGCTCTTCCTAACAAAGGGTTCCTCAGTGGAAAAGAGCCTGGACATACAATACTGGCCAACAAAAGCAACCGTTATAGCCCCAGGGAAGGGGGCGGGGGGAGAGAACCGGGGTGAGGTTTTGCTCTCTGCTTGCCAGGACTGGCTCCGGGGGAGGCCCCAGCCTGCTGCTCGTGAGTCAGGCTGCTGGGGTCCCAGCTGCAATCTGTCCCTCTTGACTTACCAAGTCTAAGGCAGGAAGAATGGGGTGGGGCTCAGGGAGGGGGCTAGGCAAGCCTCTGGGGTGGCAAGGGAGAAAGTCAGCCTCTTGCCTTCTGTCCCCATAGGGCCCCCACTCTGCAGCTGGGAAAACTGAGACCCTGAGAAGGGAAGGTCATTTTATCCTGAGCTCATTTAGTGGATTTGTGGGGGGCCAGAATGGAGACAGTTCCAGCCTGGTCACCTCCCAGCCCCTCCTCCACATTCCCACGGACACACACACGCACACACACACACACACACACACACACACATTCTTGCTCCATCTGTCCTCACACACAAAACCACAGTCTGGCTCTTGACTTAACAGAGCTTAAAGGACCCAAAAGAGTGAGAAAAAGGAACTCTGTTTTTCCTGAACTTAATACAGGTCAGTTTGTGATTCCCAGGGTGGTGGGATAGAGCCCCGAATTGGGCTCTGTGCTGAGCGTGGAGCCTGCTTAAGATTCTTTCTCCAGGGGCACCTGGGTGGCTCCATGGGTTAAGCGTCCGACTTCGGCTCAGGTCGTGACCTCACAAGTTGTGGGATCTAGCCCCACGTCAGTATCCTGTGTCTCCCTTTCTTTCTGCCCCTCCTTCGCTCACGTTCTGTCTCTCTCTAACTCTCAAAAATCAACAAAACATTAAAAAAATACATAAATAAACATTAAATTTTTTTTTAAAAAAGATTCTTTCTCCCTCTCACCCCCTTGCTTGTGTGTGCGCACGCACACAAAGTCTCTTTCAAATAAATATATATATATGTGTGTGGATTTGCTGGTGCCATTTGCAAATAACTGGATGGTATTCTTTGGAATTCTTGGAATTCCTTGGAATTCTCTTGGTATTCCTTGGAATAGAAAATGCTCTGCATTTCCACAGGACGTCAGAGTTTGCCTTGACTCCCGTGAGCCTCGTGGTTACCCCTTTGACAGATGAGGTACCGCCGCCCAAAGAGGAAAATGACTTGCCCTTGGTCACAGACTGGGTTTGGCAAAGCTCAGCCTTGAATAGTCTACTGACCTTTCGTCTTGTCTCTTTCTCTGGCTCAGCACTAGACTGGGATCCCAGCCCCACTGCAAATGAGCTATGTGACCTGGGACACCACGTCAGCTCTCCGAACCTGCTTTCAGAAACCCACCGGCCCTCCAATACCGAGGATGAGGAATCCTGAGGAATCCGGGCCTCTGTCCACACGGCAGGAAGGTATTCAGAGCCTAACCAGGGTGCAGACTGGGAAGTGTGCAGGAACCCAAGTCCTCTCTCAGGGGATCCAGGGATTCCCCAGAGAAGTGTGTTTAGAGAATTTCCACCCGCAAGCTGGCCTCCCTTTAAGAAAGCCCCACAACAAAATGTCTGGACTCAAAAGCAGAAAGATCAGGGGTCTTTATACACTGTATACAAAGATTCTTTATTCCACGGTTCTTAAAAAAAAAAAATCCTTTCTCCAATTCCCACCTCTGGCTTACTTGAAATACAGTTCATTTGCAAATTGTTAGGAACACATTTATACAGTGAAGCAGGGGTTGGGCTATTTGCCCCGACTACCAAACTGGTCTCAGCAACACTGCAAAACCAGCAATCCACACTCGTGCCTGCCTCTGGATTGTTCCCACCTCGGGCCGCGGAGAAGCTATTAGTGCCAGAGGTGGAGGGTGCCTTATTTATGGAACACCTAGTGCGTGCTATAGTTAACTCTCCCAGGGAGGCTCACGGCTAGGATTCCAGTCAGGTCTGTCTAAGCACAAAGCCAGGGAGGGCTCTCTCTCCTCACCTTGTTCAACCACACTCTTGACTCGGACTCAGGTCACTCCCTGCAGTTGGGGGCCCAGAGGCGTGGTCTGCAAAACGGGTAGATAAAGTTAGTGGAGGGCATCCACTCCACTAGGAGAGAAAGGAGATAGAAACCCCCTCTAGGGAAGGAGAGGTGGTCACCGTCTCATCACCCAAACGGAGTTGGACATCCCTTCCGCCCGGTGGCTCTGGAGAGTGGGCCCTGCGGTCAAGTAAGGGGAGCAGAGGGGACAAGGAAAGCGGCTACGGACCGTCACTCCGGGGGGGAGCCCAGGCGGCTGGCTCCGCGTGGCACTTCCGATCAGGCAGGGCCGCTCGGCGCTGCACTCCCCAGCCCCGCGCTCCGCCCCGGCCGCGCAGCGCCCCCCGTCCGACCCGCGCCCGGCCCCGCCCC